CTACATATACGCAAATGCAGCTATCCATCCTACACAGTAAACACAGTATTCCTAAAGCCGCTGAACCCCTGAAACATCACCCCACGGGTGCGCGGCAACGCCACTGCCGCTTGCGCCTGGACCGCAGCCTGGGCCTGAGCTTCTGCGTACCGATGCGTACCGGGTCTCGAATCTGCGGGTTTGAGACTTTAGGGCTCAGGGGTGTTGGAGTTGGGTGTTTAAGGTTGGGGGCTTAGGTTGAGGGTTTCTAGGGTTTTGTGGGTCTGGAGATTGTTCGTCTTTGGGTTTAAGGTGTGAAGGGTCGGGTCTTGGGTCCTCACACCGGCTCAGAACGATTATACAGATTCTCTTGAGATGTATCTGAACCCACGAGACCTTAATTTGCTTGTAAGCCGATGGTGTGCGGTATTCCCAGAACTGGATCTTAAATGGGGTGTGCCAAAATGATGGTTCTTATGAAGAGGCCATCATAGCCATCTCTCTCGGGGATTAAAGTGGGAAATATACAGAAGTCCTAACTATGGCACATGCCCACATCGTCACTTCGGAATCGCACAAATGAACGGATACTTCATATGAGGCCTTTGATATTCGAACACAAACTAAACATCTTCCTACGATAGCAATGACACATCCGAGGGTACGAAGTCCAAGGTTGCTAGGTGTCAGTGAGGTTCTATGACCTTTTCAGCGTGCGATGCTGTTGGCTCTGTACAGAGGTCAAAGCAGGTTGATGGTAATGAGTATTTACGACATGGGGCGTTGGAGATCTGGTCCAAGTCTCTGCAGAATGGCCCGGGTGAAAGCATCAACGCTCATCAAGGCCCTGAATCCCTTAGAACGACAGTACAAAGCCTTTAAACCCTCCTGCCTCAACCCCAATCTTTGAACCCAAACCTTGTACACGCCCTGACCTGAAAGCTGCAGATCCATACGGATGGGTGCAAAAACTAATACCACTAGGGAACGGGACCAGAGACTGTCTCGCTTAGGATTAAGGATATGGTTTTTAGAGGTCTGCGGTTTGGCGTGCGGAGGCTGACATTTAAAGTCAGGAATTTCAGGGCTTTGTGCGATTGAGGAGGGGACGGCGGCACCAAGCTGTCCATACGGCCAGGGATCCTCAAAGGCAGTTACGATACGGGATTTGAGGGCTAGCAGGTAAGGATTAAGGTCACTTTAAATTCCGGCGTCAAAGGTTGGATGATGCGTGTTTAAGTGTTGGAAGATGCCTACACGGCACGTGCCCCTGGATTTAGGGTTTACATCCAGGACATATTGCAAATCCACCGAATCCTCGTACACACTATGGCAGCAAAAAATCGTGAACCTGACCAACTTATCCGGCTCCCCGAATACCATCTGGGGTCGGGGCGCCAGGGTGTAGGGCGTAGAGGTTTCAAGCTTGGAGAATTTGGGAGTTTCGGGCTTGAGGCTGGGAGTGAAGGGACTACGGTTCAGGGACTAGAATTGAGAGGCTTGGAGGTTGAGAGTTTCTGCTTCCCTCCAAGTCCCTACGCACTCCAAGCCCAGGAAATGCAAGCTGAAACCTACATCCTCAACCAGGCGCGCAACCCTAAATGCAGAAGCCCCGCCTCGCGGCGGCGATCGTCTCTCTTGTGCTTGGACCGCCTCTACAACGGAAGGACAGAGCAGCAATTAGGAGTGCGATGGCAGCCAGCCTTAGAATCTACTGAGCATGTCCCCAACAGCAAGGCCTAAAAGTGTTTTTCCATAGCTTGGGCCTGGCTTCCTCTGAACTGCTGGTTGTCGACTCGTACTCGTACCTTGAAGGCTGTCACATTCCAAGTTTTCTGTGTATGGGTGTTGGGGCTAAGGGATTCTTACGGCTCAGGCTCTGAATACTTGGATAGGGGTTGAGCAAGGGTTACAACAAGGCATCAGCCATCAAATGAAATCAAGAACATATCTGAACGGCAGCGTAGCTGCCATAGCTTCAAAACAGAAGGCAAGGAAGAGGAAGAAGGGGAAAAACAAAAACAATGGGATAATGAGCGAATCGCACGCATGTGCCCACCAGGTGAATGTCAACGCAGGCCTTGTAGTCTAACCCTGAACCCAAACCTCAGGCTTGGAGTGCCCTAAGACCATGCGCTGCTTTCAATGGTGCAAAGCCCTTGTTAGCATCAGCGGAGTTGCATCAGAGCCCCCTCCCGCTGCTGAACACTAGGCATTCTGCCCTGTCGCACGCTCATGTGCAGGAAGCAACGAGTACTGCGGACACGAAGGCCCATAAGCTTCTCTAAGCGACTGCACCCTCAAGCATGTAGGAGTTGAAGCACCTCAAACCTCTCGCCCGTAGATTTCCCAAAGCTCCTCAGACCCGTGAGACCTTAAACCTTTGCAAATCCTTGAAAACCTGGATCCTAATGGCTAGAAAGATGGCAGACGTTATCATGACGCTTTAGACGCTTGAAGCCGAAAGCCCACTCAAACTCTCGCTTTGGAAGCTCGGCCAGTCTACACCCTCAACTACTTATTGAGACATCCCAAAGGCTCGTCTTCCTCTTCAGCAGCCTGGGTCAGGGTCATGGCACCAGGCTTTGGGATCACGGGGGTCGCAAAACAAGACGGAGTGAGAAGATGCCTTAATCGTAACCAAACTCTAGTCTAGACCTTTTGTTACACAGTCTTAACCCATTGAGGACAGGGGATGCAAAGGCCCTACACCCACTCCAGCCTCTGCCTTGGTGGCAAGTTCCTTCGCTGCATGCTTCCCAGAATTCTCCTTTGCGGCGACATGCTGCTTCGCGGGCGACCGCGATGCCGTTTTCTGCGGGGATTTCCTGGGCTTGTTAGGTTTGTTGGGATTGTTACGTTGAGGGTTAAAGGCCTAGGGTTACAATCTGGGTTTGGATTTGAGGCTTTGGGCGTTGGACTTCGTGCTTGAGGTCTCGTGGCACTCTCGAAGGATTCTGTTGCGGCTTTGCAGAGCTATTTGACCATGGGGACTCTATGGGAAATCACATAGGATGTAAGGTTTGCAGGTTCAGGCTCATAGGTTGTGTAAGAGACTGGTGTCGATCAGCTTGCCATAATTCAGAACCCTCATTCCTGAACCCCGGACCATGCGGCACACTACCTGCACAATCCCGACCCCAAGCGCTAGGACCTTGTAACTCTGTCGCAAAAGGTTTGACCGCTTGACAAATGCTGCGAATCTGTCAGATCGAGAAGTCGAACACTTCGACTTGAATAAACGAGTGTTTGAAACGATGTCTCTGGAAACGACGAAAAAATTTAACGTTTGGGTTCACATGGTTGATACTCAGGAAGGTTTAAGGCGTTTCGAGAACGACTCTCGATCCACTGCAGGAGTCATAGCCCCAGACCCATGTCTTGCATGATGACTACGAACTTCATCCACATGTGCCATGCAAAGGCCCTCGAACACCCCTGTCATTCCCTTGCGGAGGACTACGCCATTCTCATAGTATGTCTGCGAACAAGGGTTTCAGTTGGCAACAAAGAGCGCATGGCTAGGTCCGAATAAAGCCTGATCTCCGAAAAGTCTCTGGAAGCATGTGGAAGCTCTGACCCTAATCCAATTCCCATACATTTCCCATTTGGGATGTAATTACGGCCCCCACTTTCAACCCAAGAAACTGAAGGCCCATGGGAAACCCAAAAACAAGAACCATTTTGTTGGCAGATGCCCATTTGATATCCTTCGACTCTTTGGTAGGCAAAGTCACTCCGGGGCGGGATCTGCCGGTGCAGGAGCCGCCTTAGCGCGCAGAGTGTAGAGTTTCAGGGCTAAGCGGGTAGGGCCATCGCGGATTATGCTCAAGATGCCCTCTGTCTATTTGTAACGAACCTCGCGCTTGTTCTGCATAAGTGCACCACATGAACAATTGCACAGGAACCATTGTGGAACCCAAGCATCTGGCAAGGTCGAGACCCTGTAATCAAGCAAGAGCTCATGGTCAAACCGTAAGAGTGAGTGAGGCAGTATGGGTTTTATCGAGATTCAGGGACGCTCATGCTTCCCAAACGTGCTGTGCATCTTGTTCTCCAGATTGTCACTAGCGCCCGATCTTTCCTGTAATCCCAGAACGTGAATTCGTGCAATCTCTGCAAAGAACGTGCCTTCGGAGACTCTCTCTTGGACCCGCTTTGGGCATCGCCTGCAAAGGTGCACTGAAGCCAAATGCAGAGGCATTTTCCAGATGGCAACAATATCCCGGCTCTGGGTAGTCACGGTATCCGCGCGTCAATGGTGATGAAGGTAGCCGCACTGAACACAACTGTAGCAAAAAATGTTGGGGGCAATACTCAACACTTACGACAGTCAAGGGATAAGGCGGGCATGCGACATCAGATCCTGTAGTAGCAGAGGCACTCTTGAATCTGGGCGATAGCCGTGAAACATCGACATCACACCTATCAGAATATTTGTATGGTGGAGCAGTATGTGAAGAGGGATCCGGAGAAAATGAACTATTTGAGACTCTCCCTGACAGTTGAAAAGCTCGTGGCTTGGGACTTTCTTTGTTGCGGGTTAGCGGGTTGGTCCGGGGTCTCCATGGGGGAGGCTTTGGGGCGGTGTGGTTGAACTGGGCTTCGAAAATTGTTTTCCAGAATTTGGAGGCGATCGTTACCTTTCTGGAGCCTATACCCGCGCCTTAATTTCAATAACCTAAGGCTAGGATCTAAGGCTCGACCGTACTGATAGTTGCGATACTCATAGTGCCTACACATGAGCCAAATCATTGCCGCACCTGCTTTAAATGACAGCACATGAACATGGCCTGAATGCTCGGCAGCTTGGTAGACCACATGCACCGCTGAGCCTCTCACCCATGACCGCACTGCTTGAAATCCGTCCAGCAACTCAAAGCCTGCTTTTTCTCAACTTTTGAGTCCTGCTCGCCCCAGGGACTGCGTGGCCTCTCTTGATCTGTTGCTCTCTTTGACCGTTAGGTCTCCAGTTTCCCGACGCCCCTACGGGGCAAGAAGAAAAGTCCATAGGACGCAGTGGAGGAAGTAGGCGTTTCGACCAGCCTCGGTCTTGGCACCGGTCGAAGCTGACAGACACGAGGTCTGCACAAGGACATCTTGTGACTTTGGGGCCACAAGTGCCCCACCGAAATGCTAAAACTCAAAAATTTCCAAAGCTGCGTGAACATGTCTAAGCTAACACCCCCCCAAGTGTGCTCTGTTCAAGAAAAAGCTTCTATCCTCAGCCCCAGCACTTGCCTTCTTCTGGTCAGGCCCGGAGCAGAATGAGCACGTGAAGAGTATAGCATAGACTAGAGATGATTGTTTGCGAGAAAAAAAAGCTTGGATATGGAATTTTGAGCCATTCCCCCGTAATTTGTATCGCGGATGCCTTTTGTTGGCACACGGCCTGTACCCTTCAACCTTTTTCGCACTTTGAAGGGGACTGTGACTACCCCAGATTCGTGAGAACATTGGGCATTGAGGTGGAGATGGAGGGAAAAACTGAGTCTTCGATGTTCGAGGTAACTTCGAGGCTTCGGTTCAAATGGCAAACGTGTGCGAGAATGTTTGCACAGGCACATGTCATCTGCATGCGGTTTTGCTGACAACCTCGACTCCAAGCCCCAAAATATTCCATATCCCGCCTACATACAAGCCCTATGATGAAGCCAGATCATGCTCATAATCAGTCCACCTTCTGTCCGCTGGTTGGACTTTGTGGGAGAAGGACCACGGCTCTTCACGGGCCTCGAAAGCACTCGGGCATTTCCTACATCGATGTTAAGTATAGTGGTTACAGGCAAGCCCTACACCCGCTACACCCGCTGGGACATCGTTGTCCCTGCGAACAGAGCATCCCCATAACCGCAAGCAATAAAAACTCAGTCTAGCAAGCCGCGGATTCTTAACAAAACGTGTTGGCATATTTTCTTCGAATCCCGTCGATCGCTAGATCTCAAATAGGGAGACAGTCCAATTTTCCATCCTTTCTATGACCATGCCCGGTGTCAAACGCACAAGGTCAGAGGATCTCTCAACCATCCGGATTCTTGTGCTGACTAGCATTCTCTTCTGCACGGTGGGTGCCTGAGACAGCAATGACCTGAAAATGGGCTTCCCCAAACTCTCATTGCCGAGGCCCGCGGCAGACTGTTGCAGTTTCTCAAATTGGAAGCCCTACTACCAAGAGATGGGTCTCACCATCTTGAGAACAGTGTGAGTCTTACTTGAAGGAAGTCGGTTCTATATCCCACGAACCCAGTAAAGGCCCCCACATCCCGTATAAGCCCTCTATGGAGATTGCTCAGGATTTCAGAAGGGGGTGCCTTAAGGTTACTTGAGGCATGTCGGCATGACAAAAACATTCTGCAATCCCCGGTATGGCTTCCTTATAGGCCAAGCAAAGTCCTTACAAACAATCTCCCATCTTGCGAATTGCATGTAAACAGTCGCATCGACATGTTGTAGACCGTACAAGTAACATAGTCCCTCTGGTAAGGAGGACCCCTAAGTATCATAAAGTGACGTGAAGCTTTGAGACGCCTACTGTGCCTGGAAGCATGACTGCAAGGTGCACCCTAAGCCTTTCCGCAAACCCCAAACGCTCAAACCCCAAAATCTACATCCTCATCTGAGGGCAACCGTATTGCCCCTACCGATTGCCCTGAAGCCGGGGGTTGCTACAGCAAAAAGAATACTCTCCGACCTATTGTGCTTGCATGCATACACAAATCCAGAACCGTCCCAAATCGAGCTAACGGGCCTAAACTGGAAGCCCATGTTTTCAGCAAAGCGAAGCGATAACTAAAGATTCCTGGGACGTACTTCCTAACGGTTCTATCTGGCGTTTTCACCTTGTATACAATAAGCGTAGCCCGAACGAGGATAGCTAGCTGGAATGACGGGAGCTACACCCCAAACCTAGCTAGCCAGCAACTCCTATGTCCGGCCCAGCCGACGCTGCGGATCATAAACCTGCATCGTAAACCTTAAACTCCCTAAACCTTACCCCCACCGCAAACTTTAAACACCAAAAGCCTGAACCCACCCTTCTACCCATGCCAAGCCACGACCGCGCCGGCCGTGGCGGTGACGCTGCCGGCCGTGGGGCGGGGCTTCGCTTGGTGGCCCCAGGCCTGGGGGGGGCTTAGACGCTTTCAGATTCTTAGGGCTTGTGAGGCTGTTTAGTGCGGGTTTGGATTATCAGGATTGCGGGTCGCAGATGTTTTTAGATTTGGTTTAGTGTGTACGGCGGATGTTGATGTTACAAGTATATGGGGTGAGACGTCACAGTGATTTCGTTTGACTGAGTATACTACATACTGGAAGCCATCGAGTAATTGTGTTAAAAAGGCCCAAAAAGCAACAATTATTCCGACAACCGCTCTATGCTTCTCGTGATTTGCATGCTACTGTTGGTCTGGCTGGGCTGGTCATGCAGGTGATCTGTGTTGAGGCTGTTGTCTTGCCGTTGACCTAGTAACCTTTGCAGCAGAATAGTGGCCTGATTTTTGATGACCCTGGAAAAGGATTCGGAATTCCAAGATGCCTTAAGGTCCCCAACTTTCCACCCATAAGTAGCCCCACTCGGCTTGCAGCCACGACCAAAATCCCTCACAGGACATCCTCAAAACACTGCAACTGCTTGGAGTCCGGGTGGCGATCTTTGTCGTCTCCCGGGGCTGCGGGACCTGATTTAATTTGGGGTGGAAGGCTTGGCGCTGGAGCCTAGGGCTCTAGGGTGTAGTGTGGAGCGTTAGGTGCACAGTGTGAATTATAGATTTAAGGGTGGTTGGCTTTGGGGTGTAGGTCGTGATAGAGTCAAATATTGTAGAGTTTACGG